TGCCCCTGTGTTAGGGACAACTTCCTCAAGAATCTGACGTGCTGTATTTAGCATCCTGATTCTCAGCCCCTTGGATGGAAAAGAAACGTCCAGGCGACTATTGTGATCTGAAGTTCAGCATCCTTCCTCTGTTCTGTAGTACAGATATGCTGCTGAGACGACAATCAGACACAAGATAAACAGCAGGTGGACTCTACCCCCAAGTGCCCAGCTATGTCATTAGTGGCCCGGGCGCTTTCCCTGCAGGATGCCAGTGTGCTGACTCCATCAGAATGAAAATATCCACACCTCCTTTGAAGATGGTTCTTTTTCTAAAGCTCAAAAATCAGAAGCAAACACAAATATCATACTAAAACATGACCCAATATTGGTTTCTTTTGAACTGATTTTAGGCTAATTTTTTTTTCTCAAACCACGATGCATATGTACATATTCTTTCTATATTAAGAATCAACTAGCCTATTTGGATAAACAAATTCTGTTTACTTTCAAACCAACAGAAGACCCCGAGGGGAGGTCCTGAAAGCACAAACAAAGCTAAGAGTATATTTTTATTCCTTTTTCTCCTCACCTCGAAACTAATCTGTCATGAATATATCACATTTCTAAAAATCCTATTTATCTGCTGTTAATTCTCCATTTCCTACCCATGCTCTCGCGGTCTTCTCCTTGTCCACCTGGATTCCAGATTCACTTGGTTACAGATTGTATCTACATGGATGTTTATCCTTTCTATTCTTTGTTGAGCTTCAGGACATATTCAATTCGAGAGAGACAATTTACAATATGAATCTCAGAATGCAGTGGCTAGCTAACAGAGAATATGGGACACAGGCATGTATCAGGCAAACAGGAAATGGTTTGGGGAAGAGAAAGACTATAAGGAATAGAAGCAAACTTCAGCTCAGTACAAACATTGCTTTCAAGGTAAAGAAGTTGTCCTCACTCCAGTTCTATTCTTGTATAATAATGATGATGATGATATATTATTATGAATAATATATTCTATGTTAATAATATATTGTTTTATATATTATTTATTTCTATATTATTTGTCATATATACATCTACATCTACAGGGTAAGCATCTAAGCACTGATTTTTTTTTCATTCCAAGGACAATCAGAAATCATTCTATGCATATGTTTCCCAACCTTGTATTTGTTGTGAACAAAATTGGAGCTGGCAAAAGATGACTCGTGTGAATTACTTGAACAACAGTTTCTCTTTGTGTTGAATTACATTGAGGCCACTTGCTATGAAATCTTGCCACAGCCCAGTGACAGGGGAAGACTGTCACTGTGTGTGTGTGTGTGTGTGTGTGTGTGTGTGTGTGTGTGTGTGTGTGTGTGCTGTTCATGTGTGACCATGAAGTTAACCTACTTCTCTTCTACAGTGTGAGAGACAAGCTCTCCAAATCCCAACCACTCAGTATTTACCTGTTACATGTTAGTATTTTAGGACTTTGAGGTCCTTTGTCTTCCCATGTCAGGAAATAGTCTTCTGGCTTTCCAGTGTCTGGAATACTGCCAGTAGACAACAAAATAAGAATCTGAGAGGCTAGGCCTTACTAGCAATGTTTTCTTATAACTGTGAAGAGTTACCTCGCCCAGAAAAGTGAATGAAAATCCAAAAGAAATGCAAGCTCTCTGTGGGCACTGACCACTGACCCATTCATTCCTAAATTCACTACTCACCACTAGGGGGATAGGTAGACCAAAAAGAGCTCAGCTGGACGCTGGAATGTTTCTGGTTTCTCCATGGCAATATCAAGGCCATCTTGTCCAGGAGGTGCCCTGTGGGTTTTAGACTCTGTCTTGTTCTCCACGTCACCGTGGACTGTCCATTTCTAAAGCTGGTAAGATGGAGTAATGCTGGATCAGGAGAGCTAAGCCCCCTAGCCTGCTTCTTCTTCCCTCATTTCTCTTCTTTTTAGATACTTCTATCCGCTCCTGCTGGAGCACACAGGTTCAATCCCTGCCAACTGCTCTGAACACCAAAGCCATTTGTGGCCCTTCCTTAGTCGCAAGGGCTCAGGAGGCCCAAATCTCCATGTATGTGGGATGACTAAGGTAGCCGCCATCACAACTTGATGAGCTTTTGTGAGCTGTGCAGACCCAAGGGTGGTTAGTTTTCTGCCTCTTCATTTGTGTATCAGAGATGGCAAAAATGGAAGCCCTCCGTGCTCCCAAAGCTCCATCACCCCAAAGCCACAGTTTTGATTAGGACTGGTACCGAGTGAAGGTTATTGAACTAAATGCTCAAAATTCCCTCTTTAGCACTATCTAAGCCTGTAACTGACTTGGTGGATTCTTAAGTCTTCTGATGCAGCATGCCATTCATAGCCAGTTACTGTTAATTCTAGGAAGAATCGGCAGTCCTAATCTACATCCCTATCACTGATAGCGTTTATGCCTAATTTATTTAAAGATAGTTCATGATATAGATCTAAAATAAAGTTAAGTTGCTCTCCCCTCAATCTGTAAGCAGACACCCTGCTGGCTCTGCCATCCTTTACTGAGTAAGTAGCATTTCAGGTTAGTTCCTCTTCTTAGGTCTGTTTTCTCACTAAACAGGGCTTATCGCAACATCTAGTTCAGAGGGTTGCTGAGGGTTACGGGGGAAAATGCAGCTCTGTACTAAGAGCTTGGTCAAGGCAAGCACAAGATAAACATCAGCACTTGTGATGACAGGACATGTAAAAAAGTCTCGAAGACTAACGCACTCGGAATGACATTTCAACTTGCAGCCTTGCAACCCAGAATCAGAGAGAGGGAAGACCCCCCCACCCCCCACCCCCAGCTCATTAGGGGACTTCGAGAGTAAGGAGGGATTCTGTAAGGCCAGAGTCCTGAGAAGGGACGAGGGCAGGAAGCTGAAGGTCCTGACAAAAGCTGGCATTGCGTGACCAGAGGTGGGAGAGGGAAGACAGGCAGGCAGCGAGGATTTCAACCATGGTGTAATAGGTCCAGACAGGAGCCCAGAGACACGCGTGCCCCTTTCCTCTGGCTATCAAACTATTGAATTAATGGTCCTGAAGGAATTGAAATTCCCCTACCAGACTCATGCAGGGGGAAGAACTGGCTGCCAGCCACAGGAGGAACCTGTCTACCAGGAAGATATGCCACAGGGTTAGAGTGGAACTCAGGCGATCATGGATTAATGCTGGGCAGGACTACACCTTGGCCAGGACTACTTGGTGATGCATACCTTTTTGTACACTAAAACAAAAGTGCATGCAGAACACGGAAGACGCAGTAGAGGTCGGGGGAGATCACTGGACCCACCTAGTTGTAACTCTTCCCAATGTAACCACATTGAATTAATCCCCCTTCCCTGCTTTTGACGGCCACTTGCCCCTTTAATTGGTATATTGAGGACTGGTGGTTGAGCCTCGCTTCTTAGGGCTGCCAGGGCCCAGGCTTTGACCCTAACAACTCCAGTTACAATAGCACTGGTGGAGAACAGTGTAGCTACTGATGCCAGGGAGTGATTTGGGCAGAAGGTACCCCAGACAAGGGGAGGCACATTGAAAACCACACCAAGACTAGGTGAGGTCATGTCTGGAAGACAGATGGATGAAGCAATTTATATTTAAATGGTAAGGCAAACAACACACCCCCACTGTGCCACCGTCTATTCTTACTCAATTCCTCTGGAAGAAAGTAGAAATTATGGCGGTGCTAATTGCTATGCACTTTTGAATGAGAACCTTGGCATTGGGATATAGACCTCAGGGGAAAGTGAGTCTCTTTTTTGATATGATTAGTAAGGAAAAGTTTTCCAAATGGGTTTGGCCTTTCAGTTGCTAAAGTGGACAAGACTTTTATTTTCTGTTGCTGTCCACTTTCCCCTTAGCTTCCAAATGCTGTTGTTGGAACAGGTAGATCCTATCAGAAGTGCCTTGTGAACCAAAGCCCTAGGGAATGCTGTGGGTGAGGGCTGATGACAACTGGGCTCAGCTGCAGGCGGACCTTCAGGCCAGGGCCAGGGAGGGACATACAGTCAGGAGATGGGTGGGGACAGAGCAGGCTCCTGGCTCACTGCTTCCTGAATTCCGACTGCAAGCAGCTGGAGAACTAAACAAGGCCCTCTGCTGGGGTCCTTGTGACCTGCAATGCCTGTACTCTGTGGCCAGGGAGAGATCATCAGTCAGTGAGACTCCCTTAAGATCTAACTTCCTTTCTCGACGCTTCTGTTTCTTTTTCCCATTTTCAGGGAATGGGCGATTTAGATACGTTCAGTAGCCATCGAGTGCAGGAGCAAAGGCTGGCAGACCGAAGAAGCCCCTGGCAGCTTCGATCTCTGGCATCTTCCGGAGCCCCAAAGCGCAACAACTGTCCCCAGAAACCCCGGAACCAAACCAAATACAGCACCAGTACCGAAAATTCTCTCTTTATAGAAGCGGCTTCTCCTCTCCCGCCTTGGCACTCGGGTGCCTAAGCATTAGGTACCGGGACTAGAAGTAGGGTGCCTGGGCACCCCCATCTCTGCGCCCCATTGCTAGTCGCAACACCTACTACCCAGTTTCCGCCGTGGCGCCCAGGGCCCCACAGTGCCTCCTAGTGGTCGGGTAGCACCTTCCTCGCTCAGCCTCCCACCCCACCAAGACTCCCCAATTCTGCAATTTCTCGGGGCAGCTAGACCCCTCCGGCCGTGACCATCAGCCAGCCCTCAGCTCCCTAAACAGGTCCCTTCGTGCCTCTCAGGGGCGAACCCGCAGCCAGTACCGGCGCAGCGGGCGGCTCAAGGCAACGATCAGGCCGTGGCCCGAGTTTGGGGCGCTAGGGGGTGAAGGCAGGCGAGGCCGGCGGGCCAGGGGGAGCCGGTGAAGGCAGCGGCGGGAGTCTGAGGGAGGCGAAGCGGCGGCAGCGGCGGGCGGCGCGAGGAGTCCCTGTGATTGGCACAGCCCGAGCTGGAGGAGGCGGCGAGGGGAGGGCGGAGGAGGAGGAGGAGGAGAAGGAGGAGGAGGAAGGGGGCGAGCGCGGCGGCTGCGAGGAGCGGAGCCTTCAACCTCTCCAGCCGCGGCAGGACGGGGGCGGCCGCCGCGGGTCCGGGGCGGGGACAGCACGCAGCCTCGCGGCGCGCACCCCCGCCCGGCAACGGCCACGACACCCGGGGCGAGCGGGAAAGCGGCGGCGGCGGTAGCGGCGGCGGGGGAAGGATGCAGGGGAAGAAGCCGGGCGGCTCGTCGGGCGGCGGCCGGAGCGGCGAGCTGCAGGGGGACGAGGCGCAGAGGAACAAGAAGAAGAAAAAGAAGGTGTCCTGCTTCTCCAACATCAAGATCTTCCTGGTGTCTGAGTGCGCCTTGATGTTGGCGCAGGGAACGGTGGGCGCCTACCTGGTGAGTCCGGGTGCCAACTCTACCACGGACCCCCTTCCCTCCCGGCGCTTCTCCGGCTTGCCGCCTGGCACCGGGAGGGGGCCTCGCCGGCGCCGGGGGCAGGCGGGCATGACCTCGGCCAGGCGCGGAGGTTGGCGACTGGTGCAGAGGCGGCCGCCGGGGGAGCTGCCGGCCCGAGCCCGGAGCGGGCGGGACCGTGGATGCCGGCAGCAGCTTGTGCGCCGGGTAGGGGTTGGGGGACCGGGGCGGGGGGTGCCCGAGAGGAGACGCCGCGGGCAGGTGGGCATGAAACTGTTTCTTCTCCCCTCTGGAGAACGGAGCCAGATGGCGAGTTCAGGGAACCTCCTCGGAGACTGGAAAGGCATCGCGGTTCAGGTGACCTGCACATGGGAGGAAAAGCCAGTTAGCATCCTGCGTCCTCTACTCTCCGTTTCATCCGCTCGGAGAACGAATCATTATGCATCATTTTCCCCCAGGCTCTTTCTCCATCCGCCAATTGCTGGGGAATTTAACAGTTTAGAGTAAAAGGCGCCGGAGTGTGGCCCTGATCTGAGTGGTTGCTGCAGGGGGACTAGTCCCACCCAGATCCCAATAGCCATCTTTCGGTGTTGGGATAAAGTTACAGTACCTGGAGAGCAGCTGCGAGTTTGTGTAGTTCTAGCTTAATTCCCTGCCATGGTCGCTCGCCCACACGGGGAGTGGATCACTGCGTACAATATGTATCTATTTTATTTGCCTCTAGAACGGGGTTATTGATGCTCAAAAGGCCCATGGACGCCTACTATACCCAAGGAACCCGCTTGTAATGACTCAGCACTGTCAAGTACCTACTTTGTTGCTCTCTCCTGCAGTGCTCAGGTGGTCCGCACTTGAGTTTCAGACAATGCACTTCCAGACCTGTCCTGTCCTAACAGGGAAAGATGGCTCAGAGTGGATAGTGTTAAATCTTTGCTTGGCTATTGACCTGAAACTGGAATCAAATGTCATAGATTTTAAGTGTTAGTGAGCACGTTTGATGGAGATCGAATCGGACAAGATTTCAAAAGCGGTTGGATAACCACATCCAGAGATAGAGCCATGTGTATCCTGATGTTATCATGAATCCCTCATTCCTGGCCCTGGGTTAAAGTTAATGAGGGCCAGACGCCGAGTACCCAGTACCATTAATAATTTCCCAAGGCTCCTACAGGCTAAGGTGAAGTGAAGCAGTGCTTGATTCAAGTTAGTTATGTGGTGACTGGGGGGCTGGGACCTCTACGGAGTCAATTCTGTCCCTGGGATGAGAGAACATGAAAGGGGCATTTAAGAAATCAAATGCATTTATGTTGCCCCTCCCTAGATGAGCAGCTTTTAAATCTCCATCTCTGTCTTGTGTGTATATGTCGTCACTGAACCCCGGGGCCAAAGTGTTGTTTTATCACATGTATTCGTTTCGTTTACAGTTGTAATACTAAGCTGCAAACTTTGGAATTTGCTCGATGAGGATGATGACATTTGGAGGGGCAGCTTCTTTAGGGATGATTTGACTGCTAAGATACTTAGCAGTATCTTAGTACATGTGTTACTGGAGGCAAATGCACATTAATACTGATAGGTGTGAAACTGTACTGTAGCATGTGCAAGCGATGTTCTATCTAACCAGGTCTTCCTGTTAAAGGAGGCAATTAGTCTATCAACAGCTGGCTCTCGTTTTAACAGTTCCTTTGCCTCAAACCAGTTTTGCTGAAGAGTACATTATCCACATGTGGCAAGCAGCGAGGCTATACTTTTCATCCCAGGAATGATGAATGCCCGAGCTTAGGAGTCTTTGCTTGTAGTGACTTAAGGGTTTTAGAAGGAATCGAAGCCGAGCCTCAAGCAGAGGAGCGGCCTTGTTCTTTTTGGAAAGTTAAAAAGCAAGTGCTTCTACCATGGGGAACTTCGCCAGGCAGGGCTGGCCCTGGGAGATGAGGGTTACCAAGAATCTCAGGACAAGGAAGGGGCAGGAGGCCTTCAGTCCACCTGCTGGTGGCATTGGGACATTTGTATCCCTGATGCAAAGTTGGGGGGGGGATGGGTAAAGGTAACAGGAACCAACAGGTGCCTTGCATAAAGCAGATGCAGGCCCAGGAGAGGACAGGCCTAGGAAACTGAATTAACTTTGATCAGTAGCAGGGCGAGCATAAGGTTCTCAGGGCCCTGCTCTGTCCCGCTGCCCTGGCCTTCTCTTTACTATAAGAACCTCAGGTGATGACTAGGTAGGTTACCAGGATTGGCCCAGTCAGCTTGCTGTTGGCTTTGATCTTCTGGGTCACTTAAGAGGCTTTTCTTCCTCTGTCCTTTGGGCAGGTGGGGACAGTTTTGGTTTTCTTTCAACCACAGGAGCTTCCTCTCTGGATGTTTGGGGAAATCACTTATTGCAGGAGGGTCGAGGGAAAGGCAGATTTCTTCCTTTTAAAATGTCATTGTGTCTTTCCGAGGAAACCTGAGACCCTGTGTCTATGAGAGGAACACAGGTGGTCCATGTGTAAGGGGTGTGTGTGTGTGTGTGTGTATGTGATCTTTTCATTGGTTATCAGCATGCTCTTCTGAGAAAGTGTTTTCAGATACTCGATGATGAAGAAGGGCTTGCTATGGGACTCCTTTCTCTGTAAGAACTATGGCTGCAAGTCGGATGTCAATGGCAATATTTTCTATTTGACTTTTAAAGTCCATGCAGCTACCTGGTGCGTGTGCGTGTGCGTGTGCGTGTGTGTGTGTGTGTGTGTGTGTATGTGTGTGTGTGTTTTAATCTCCTTGGGTGCCTTTCTGTTTTTAAGTATTGGGAAGTGTCATTTCATTTTTCTCTTTCGTTCTGAAAAGAGAGGTTTCTCGTTGTCCTTAGTGTGTCCTCAGCGACATTGGTGTAGGTTTCCCAACTGCAGGAGTGAAGCAGGAAGTGGCTTGTGATTTGAGAAGCTTCCCTGAAAAGTAGGACTCCTGTGTGTGTGTGTGTGTGTGTGTGTGTGTGTGTGTGTGTGTGTGCCCCTGGGGTGGGGGTGGGGTGCTAAAGAAGGGTAAGAAAGAGGAGGAGAGTGATGGAGGGGGGAGAGGAAGGGGGGAAAGGGATGGAGAGAGAACCAGAGGGAGAGGGGGAGAAAGGGAGAGGGGCAGAGAGAAAAAGAGGAGAGAAGAGAGAGGGAGAGAGAGAGAGAGAGAGAGAGAGAGAGAGAGAGAGAGAGAGAGAGAGAGAGAGAAAGATTGAGATTTTGATTGATTGGCTCAAGAACCTGCCTGCCCAGGAGACTCAAAGAACTGTATCTAACAAGGCATCCTAGTCTGAGAACCTGCAACTTTTTGCTTGGGTTTTGAGGTCTTCCAGGAAGTGAAGAATGATCGGGACTCGGACATCCTTGGTAGATCTTGGTAGGACAATACAGATAAGGTAATCCAGGTGCTACCCAGCATAGCCAGGGACTCTGAAATCAGCACTTAGAGCAATGTTGTGCTGCAGCGTTGGTTGGCTATGATATGTGTTTGTGTGTGTGTGTGTGTGTGTGTGTGTGTGTGTGTGTGTGTGTGTGTGTATCATACATACATATATATGTATGTATGTGGCCTAAGAGGAGGCCTGCTGAGTTTAATGGTCATTGTGCCTTACTTGTATTGTCCAAGACAAGGCCATGTGTACTTCTGGTTCCTGGGGGTTTGCTTCCCGTGGCTCCAGTCTGTACAGCCCTATTTGAAGGGATATAACTGCTGTGGAAGTCTTGGACTGTTGAAAGGAGACTGTTCCCAGGCATGTGGGAACTGGCTGGACAGAAAGTCATTTGTGTAGATTTATCTGTGCATTGCTTACTGAGATGTGGCGAGCCCGGTAACCCTGAAGAGACAGGTTCATCTGTGTCATGGCATTACTGAGGACTTGAGGAGATAAGGATGTATACAGGAAATTAAAACTGCTGACACCTTAGGCAATTTCGAATGAAGCTCATGGCCGATGCTGTTGAATTGCTTTGGGATGCACATGGAATAAAGGCCAGTGGTAGTCTCTGGAATCATGGGGGACTCCTGTGAAGCAGAGGTGGGCCTTTCCCTATTTTGAGTTATGCAGAAGTGTGTTTGAGGTTGTGGTGACAGGATAATGACACAGATGACTGAGTGTGGCTGATGAGGAACTGCCTCTCTGCTCTATAGTCACTTCTTTTTCGGCCAGAGAACATTCAGAGGTTTACAGTTAGCTGCCGTGTTTGACACTTTCTTTTTCTCTAAAGAAGCACCTTTTTGAAGGTAGATTCTTGCATTGCTAGGCTGACGGCTGAAAAACATTTTTAAAGTCCTTGTCAAATTAGCATGATGACTAAGGTAGCTGTATTTTACTTAATCAAATTATTTTATACACTTATGGTTACTCATAATGACAAATTTCCTGCTATTTGCATAATTACTATATAGCCCCCAGGTAGTTTAAAAAAAAAAAACCTCTGAATTTTTTTTTCCTTATAGCTTTGTTTAAAATGTTTAACTAATACTCCTTAAGGAAAAAGTGTATTTCTGAAAATTCTCTTCAACCAGGTTTGTGTACATGCCTTTGTTTCCTTGGGGTGCATGTAAGGAGGGGTGCGTGCGTTTTAACAATAGAAGAATCTAAATGAATTACTTGGACAGTGAGCAAGATTTCTCTCCTGGGTTTTGTTAACCCCGCCCGCCTTCCCCGTTCAGTTTCAATACCCTATACAAAGGGTCCAGAGTTCAGGCTGTGTGGTGCTGCCTTGCCTTTAGGATGGCTACTCCACCATTTTGGCTCCTCCTACCTGCTGCTGGAAGGGCATCTTCCTGTGGCAGCCTAGGTGAGGTTCCTTCTGTGTGGTCCATGAACCACTGGGGAGGCAGAGTTCCAGCAGGAAGCGCTCTGGATTTGTTTTGCATATCTGATGGCAGACTTGGAGGCTCTATGTTGATCAGGGTCGGGCTTACCTAGCAGTGTGGCTAGGGGATGTGTAAGTGTACTGCTGCAAAAAACTATGGAGATAGCGTTTTAT